CCCCCCTTCCCCAGCCAATAAAAGAGTCGAGTACTGAATCTTTCCAGAGAGGGATGAAAAAAGATTGTTTTCAAACTTTTTCAATTTCTGTAAGTCACAGTAAAATAGATAATTTTTATTAAAGAAAATTTTAGATTTAAAAATCTCTCAAAAAGGCCATTATGACCTTGATTGAGAGGGTTATTGCAAATCATAAAGCTGAAAGTCTCCTGATGTTGGAAAATACTCATCAATCCAGGAGTATTTGGATTGAGATCTGGAGAAAGGAACAGAGGAATACTTTTGTATTCAACTACTGATTAGGAGTATGTCATGGGGCAAACAATAGGCATGGCATTAAAATAATCTGTTAATTAAATTTATTTTATAGTTATATTTTGGGAAAGTGAACTAATGATATGCTAATGACTTGATACCAAAAAATATTTGAACTATTTGGTTTTTGAGAAACTGCTCCATGGGATAGAATATTTGATCTCTCCTTTAGGCCTATTATTGGTTACTTTTTTGGGTAGGGGAGTCTAGTCAGTGAGATGTACACAAAATATTGGACTTTTAAAACGTTGAATTAAGGCATTCATACCTTTGCCAATCAACCAACCAACCAATCCACCCGTCCATTCTATAACAATATATTCAATAAACTAGAAGAATGCTCATCTTTCTTAATTATAGACTCCCCTTATATGCTGTTGTTTCGTAATATTAATTGTTTAACCATGTCACTGATTATAAATTTTTTTTAGTATAAGGCTGAGGTGTGTAAAATCCTTTTTACTAGCGGAGAGGACCTGTTCCCCAGCTATTATAATTCCTGCTCAGGAATTGTAGCAGTCAAGGCACGAGGGCTCTGTATCCTTAATGTAGGTTGCTTTGTCAGCAAAGGATCATGAGTTTTACCCAGTCTCTTCTGTCCAGTCAGTCATTCTGAATTCCAACTAGTAAGCTTTCTGCATAAGTTCAATTTTTAGTAAGTTTCTCAAAGCTATTTCAAGAATTATGGCCAAATCACCTCCATTATGAAACAATTCTCCTGACCCCATTTAAAAAAAAAAAATTAAGACCAAGAGGAATGATGTTATAAAGTAGAAAATCCTGTGAAAATGAATTACTATGCTAAAGCTTTCAAAGATTATGTGTAAGATTATGTGGCCTGTTACTTCTGATGACACCTTCTTGCTAGTCACTGAGGCCCTAACTCTGTAGGTTGCCTATTATTTTGGAGAGCTCTGACATTTTTATCATTGAAAGTGTGCTAAGATGTGGAATAAACCTGTTAAGTTCTGTTCTATTTAAAATTCCTTATAGGTAATAGACTGTACATTTTTTAAAAGGTAAAATTGTGTATGTATTTAAGGCAATGGCTTTACTTCCATTTATTTATTCAATCATTTATCCACTCAACAAAGATTTATCGAGTGTCTGCTATGTACCAGGCACTGTGCTAGGAACATGCTTTGCAATGGGAAATGATATTTAGTCTCTGACTTTATGATACCTAAAATTTATTAGAAAGATGCGGAAACAGGCAATTTCAATGTTTTGTGGTTGAGGTTAACACACTGTGTGTTGGAAACAGAGGAGAAGCACCCAGCCACATCTAGGGGAGTCAGGGGATTCTTTCTGGGAGATATGACATTTAAGATGAGACACAGAAGGCACTTAGAAGGTTACCAAACAATGTTTGGAGTGGTAAGATACTGTTTCAGATCATTATTTATTTTCTTGGCCTTGAACTATATCACCATGACCTCTATCATCATCATCAACATCATCAGCAGTGTCATCATCAGTGATAATGTGGAAAAAAACCGAGACCAGTGGTCAGAAGATCTACCTTTTAGAAGAGACAAGATCATGTAATCATTGAGATGGATTCTCAGTCTATAAATTTAGGTATGTAAGAAATATCCATTCATTTTCCATAGTTCAACTTTATTTCTGACCCTTAGGCACTGAGTGGTAGACAAAATACCTCCATTCTATATTAAGGTTTTCCCTGCTTCCCTAGGGTTATGGTAGAGTTCCTCCTGGAACTCTGGTCATTGATAATAGCTTACTTTGGTCTGTATATAATAGCTTACATCTGAGATATGAGTTGTATCTATATACAGTAGTTCTTTCTGGTCTGGCAGTGATTTGCTACTTCTAAGACATGGATTTTCCCCCCAGAACTTGTTTCTGTTTGCTTAGGTGCCTCATGATGCCATCCTTCTCTGGGGTCTTCCTGCCTTCCAGACAGTGGTGCCAGGAAGCAGAGCATAGATCTTTGCTCCCTTGGGATCCAAAGACTTCCCTCTGTTTCCTTCAGCTGAAAAAATCTTCGTCTAGACTGGGGATGTTGTCTCTCTCTCTGAATGTACCTGAGAATCTCTCTTTTATTTCTGTAACAAACTTTGTTTTTAATCTGAGGGCTTAGGTTTTAGAAAAGCAGAAGTAGAATAACTTTAAAATCCTTTTCTTTTCTGTCCTAGCACATACCTCTCTGAGGCAAACAAAGTACAAAGCCAGCTACTAGCTTGAATAAGAAGAAAGGAAATGGGAAAATTTAGGGAGAGAAAAACATTATTATCTCAAAGTGCCAGTCTCCTACGTGTACATCAAGTTCACATGCCTTCTTATGGTGATGCCACCAGGTGACCTTGTGAAAATCGTGTAGTCCTTCTGAACTTCAGTTTCCTTTTCTGAAAGGGTTTAATACTTTTTTCTCTCACAATATATATTGTGCTTTTTCCACTTCAAATAATATAATATGTATGAACTTCAGTCTTGCGAAGTTAGCTAGCGGTAGATAGGATCAGAAGCTCATCCAGTGCTCCTTTCGCTGTAAGGCTGTGGTGGTCTTTGAACAGGCGAAGGGAGTCATGGTGCAGTGGAGGAATCCAGTCTCTGTCAGCTGCCTTTGTTACCTGAAGAAAGTCAACAGATTGAGCTTCAAATCCAGTGACCATCCTAATAAGAGTCACCTCTTGAGATTATTGTGACAAATAAAAACACTGAGTCCACGTAAAATTGTTTTGTAAATAGGAAAGGGCTACACAACTCCTTATTATCAGAACACTTTTAAAAAACTTGTTCAAGAAGAAGGTTAGTTGTGGTTCAGAGTCGTACACGCCTGTGCAGATATGGCAAGGGCACATCTGCTTACAGATCCTGTGCTTTTTAAAAATAGATTATGATGACATTTCCTCTGAGCATATTTTCTCTTTCCATATACTAAAGTTATTTGTAAACCATCCAATATTTACAAAGTGATTGCAGTCTGTAGATATGCTTTAAGTCTGGCCAGACATTTTTCCACAATTTAAATTCCACAATTAAAAAAAGTTTTATCTGTTTTTTATTTCATTTTCATTTTCTAGTTTGTTACAACTAGAGTAATGTATATTTCAGTTTTCAGTTGGAGATGTAATGCGCTATCTTCTTTCTTTCTATTTATTCCCACTTAACCTTGCACTTTTCCCATTTCTATGGAAAATCTGAAAATATGGCTTATCTGAAAGGTAGTAATATAAATTTTGGTGTGGGGGCAGTGAGGGGGGTAAAGTATAATTGCTAAGGACAATTACAGAAAAAAGAAACACTGTGATCTTTTCCTAGTAAGTTAAGTTTCGTAAAGAATTTCATTATTCTAAATGCTTTGCTTTCCAAGATTTGTGTATTAAGTTCATCCTTTCCTCTCCTATGCTTTGCTCTTAGTCTTCCTAATATATATTCTATAAGTCTCTCTGTTTTAGTTGTAGTAAATAATTTTGTGTCATTTCCTTTCTAAAAGTTCATTTGTTAGCACTATTGCCATTAGCTGTCTCAAATTTAAATTACCTGTCCCAAATTATTTATAACTTTTGGCAATTCTATTTTTAAACCAAAAAGAGTTACACCTTAATTAACAGACACATGATTACCTACGATTTTAATTATGTAATGTTCATTATATCCTTTGGGTTGCATATGTCATGCAAAAAAATTTATCTTAAAAAGTGATCCCCCCTCCCACTTCCCCCTGTGCCTGCGTACAGGTAATCCAAATTTAGTTTCTTTCAGTAGACTCAGGAGTCATGTGAAGATAGATTTCCTTTAATAAAGAAAATAGGAGAACTGAGGCCGTTATATTGGCAATTCATTTGAAAAATTCTGCACTTATACCTGCTTATTTGAGCATCAATTAAAATTTTAGTCTTGACTTACTTGGATAATTATTGAACTTTCCACTTTCTACAACTTGCCAACTGGCAACATCTGGCTAGGGATGTTTGACTTGTACAACAGGATCCTTGTCATCTTGTATATCTCTCTATATTTTTTGCTTAATTTATTGTTTTTGCATAGCTATCTAGTTTTAGATTACCCAGAAGCTCAAGCTTTTATTAATCGGTAACAAGAACTTAAATAGAGAGAGGTAAAGAGCACAATGAAATTGACCTCAGGTGGTGATAAAGGGCACCCACAATTCCAGCTCTAAGAGAGACTTGACCATATTTGAGCTTTTTTTTTTTTTTTTTTTTTTAATAATCTAGCATTTTGTTTTATGTATCAGATTTTTCTCATACAGAGATTAGAGGCATAATATACTCTGTTGGTTTAGAGGCTATCGAATTGTTTTGAATCAATACAGTGTCTTCCTTGAGTAGTTACTCAATATGTGCTGAATGAATTAGTGAACGTCCCCTTACCTTGCAAATTATATTTGCGGATTTGATTATGGGAATGCTGTTACATTTTTGAGAATTGCTGCTCACAAGAATAAAATATCAAAATATGTAAATACCTGCAAAAATGCCACAGAAGTAAAAAAAAAAAAAAAAGAGCTTAAAATTGCAATTGTAAGAAAAGAAAAATATTCCTGGTATTTAGTAAAATTTCAAAAACTAACAAATGAAGAAATAAAAAACGACTAAAGCTTGAGGCACTAGAGATAATCAGATAATTAGAGTCCAAAGACACATATAAGTACTGGGGGAGGTATAGTATAATTGTTGTTGATTACTTACATTAATGGTTAGGAATGGGTTAGAAAGTGAGGTCAGTAAACCACTGTCATTTAGGGAAACTGTTGATTGTTTAATTATTGAGAAAATGAGGATTTAAATATTCTTGATTCAAAGAGTTGTTATAAATATTATCAGGTAAAGTATGAAAGCATAAAAATACTAAAGTTCTATACAAATGTATTAGCATGTGTTTATACCACCATCTTTTGTTAATATTTCTTATTTTAAAGTTGAAGAGGGATCCCTGTGAATCCACATTCATTTTTATATTTCTAACCTTCTTAGGTAAAAAAAAGAACTAATTACACAATGTTTTCCATTTATTACTCCCTATCAAAATGTTCCCTTCTTTCAAGGGAGTAAGCTTGAGGTTTGCTATATCATATAGGAGTATTGGGGAAGGCCTTATTGATAAGGTGACATAGGAGCCGCGATATGAAAGAAGTCAAGGAGCAAGCTTTGTGGATATTTGAGGAAAGACTGTTCAGGTAGAATAGCAAGAGTATCCCTCAGGTGGAAGAGTTCTTGGTAAGTTGAGAAAGAGCAGAGACCACTGTGGTTGGAATAGACTGAGCAAGAGGAGAGGTGTAAGAGCTGAAATCAGAGAGGTGGGCTTTTGCTGAGTGAGATGGGGAGTCACTGGAGGGTTTAAGTTGAGGAGCAACGTTATCTGACCTATGACCTTCTGGCTGCTGTGTTTAGAAATGACTGTAGGAGGGCAAAGGTGACAGCGTGTAGATTAGTAGGAGGCCACTGCAGTAACGCAGGAGACAGACGATGGTGACCTGGACCAGGGAGGTAGCATCAGAGATGGTGATAAGTAATAGGATTCTGTATGTAATTTGATGTCAGAGCCAACAACACTTACTGATGGATTAGGTGTAGAGAATTAGAAAAGAAGAACGAATGATGACTCCAGGGATATCGGCTTGAACAACTGAAAAGGGATGGAGAGCATTGCCGGAGAAGTAGGTTGGGGATGGTGACTCAGACCTTAAGTTCAGTTTTGACAAGTCAGTTTGAGATGCTTATTAGACATCAAAGTGGAAATGTTGACTGTACAGTTAGATATGAGTCTGTAATTCAGGGGAAAGGTCTGAGTGATATAGATATAAATTTGGGAGTCTTGAGAATACTGGTCAGGGCACATGCCCGGGTTGCGGGCTTGATCCCCAGTCGGGGGCATGCAGGAGGCAGCTCATCAATGACTCTCTCATCACTGATGTTTCTATCTCTCTCTCTCTCTCTCTCCTTTCCTCTCTCTGAAATCAATAAACATATATTTTTTTTTAAAAAGAATGCCTATAGTATTTGTGTGAGAGTGACTAATCTTAACTGTCAGAGATAGCTTTATGGAAGAGAGCATTCGAGTTAGGTGTAAATTAAGGAAAGGGAAGTTTTCAGTAGATTTGTTGATTGATTTCTATATACTAGACATTGTACTAAGTATTGTGTCATTTGATCCTGCTACCTGTGAGGAAACTGAAGTTCAGAGAGGTTAAGTAACTTGTTAAAGGTCACACACAGCTAGTAAGTAGAATTTAAAAGCCAGATCTAGCTGACAACAAACCACTTCCAATATCATGTATAGATTCTAGGGAGAGATAATGGAATTGGGGGAGCATATTCCAATACAGGGAGCAGTAGGAACAAAGAAAAGTACAAAGGTAAGAAAAAGGAAGGAAGGAAGGAGGGAGGTAGAGAAAGAGAGAGAGAGAGGGAGAGAGAAATCCAATGTGACTTGGACACTGTGTGTGTGTATAAAGGAGAATGTATAGTGGGAAATATGGCTGAAAATATAGGTTGTATAAAGGTCATGGGAGGGAGACGTTGGAAGTTGAGTTAAGGAATTTGGGCATTATTTTGTAGGAAGTCATCAATTTTAAATAATTTTTCTGACAAGAGAGGATCATACCTGCTGTGTGAACAACTGGCCAGCATTGCATTCAGGACTTTTGTGTTGTTTCATGGTTACGGACTCTTGTAAGACAGGAATATAGAAATACAAGTGGGTTCTTAAAATTAGGAGTTGAGTGTAATTCTCAATTTATGATTATTTTATTAAATTATTTTGTGTCATGCCTGGCCGGTGTTGCTCAGTGGTTGAGCGTCACCCCATAAAACAGGAGGTCACACTTCGGTTCCCAGTAGGGGGCGTGCAGGAGGCAGGCGATCAATGATTCTCTCTTATCATTGATGTTTCTATCTCTCCCTCACCCTCCCTCTCTCTGAAATCAATAAAAAAAAATTCTTTCATGTCATGAAATTAGGAATGCAACTATAGAATCGTTTAATGTAAGCTTACTATTTTTCTAAGACCATAAGATAGACTTTTAAAATCATCTTTTTCAGATACTGACCGAGCTTTATCGTTACTGGAAGAGTACTGCAAAAAATTAAGGAAACCAGAGGAGCAGCAGTTGAAAAACGCTGTTAAAAAGGTGATGGGCATCTTTAGGAGCAGCTTATTTCAAGCTTTGCTAGGTATGTGTTAAAAAAATACATATTATCTTAATGGTAAGCACTGGGCTGAATAGTTGAGTAATGTCAAAGAAACTGATGTTAACCAAATTTAAAACTGGAAAAATTTTCCTTGATAGTAGAAGGAAAGGTTTGAGTTTTTTTTATATAAAGTTAGCCTAACAAAGAACTATTATAGAGTAGAAATAAAGTGTGGGTTATTAAGAAATGTAAATATTGAAAAATGATTTGTATAGGAAGGAAAGTTTCCACAGGAAAAATCTTGAGTAGTTTGTTTCACAAAATTGAGGACAAATATGCCAGGGAAGGAAGCTACTTTCCTCTCGAGAAGGAATTGCTTAGCACAAAAACAATCTGCCACAGTCTCCTCAGTTAGAATCCGAGTTCTACTTTTACTCTCTTCTTTAAACAAACATTAAAATATTATTTTCCTCTTTTCTGCTTCTCTTATGAAAGATTATGATTCAAATTGAGAAGTTGATTGATGAAAATCTCAGTGCTTTGGAATGTTTGTTAATTTGTCATGAATCTAACTACATAATGTTTAACCTTATGTTTATTCTCTAACTTATTAAAGATTGTGAAAAAATTCAAGGATATGGTTTATTTATCTATGACTTTATACATACATCTTTTGCATTTATGCAGGTAACTTTTAATTCTTTTTTATGATATTTTAAAAGTGAAAATAAAATAGCAAAACATATAAACACCTCCTCTCAACAAAAATAGCCAACTATGAAAAATTTTTTAAAACCCCCCACTTAATTATACTCACTCTCTCTTTCTCTCTCTCTCTCTCTATATGTATATATATAACTGGGCCTAATAGTACATTTTAAGGAAATAACTGAGTCTACTGGACATTATTATTACTTTTTAAGGTCTGGTAGTTATTGAAACAGAGTCTAAAAATGGGAATTATGAGAATCTTGAAAATATTTTATCTATGTTTTTATTGTATATTTCTACACTTACAAAAACTCCAACTTGTTCTGAGTATAATTTTAAAAAACATTAAATTTTGAAAATTTGAAAATCACTCTATTGAATAAGAACAGAAGAAGAAAGCTTTATAGGATTATTTGCCCTGTGGATTAAGTTCTTTAAAATATTCTCTTGTGGCTTGTAAGAATTAATGACACAAATAACTATAATCATCTTAGTTGGTATTAAGTAAAAACAACTCTAAATGGACTCTTGCAGAATTTAAATAATTCCTGTCATTAGAGAATAATAGTTGAGAACATTTTTTAAGCCACAAATTTCTCAATTAAAAATGAATAGTTTCATGGAGTTGATCATTAGTAAAGGCCATTAACTGAATGGCAAAATCTCTGAATAAATTTGTATGATATGTTTAGTTAAGGCTAGCTAAGTCTTTTAAGAGTTTCAGTTTTTAAACTTGATTTAGGAAGAGTATTGTTGCATGCTTTAGATAATGGTACTATACTTTGGCAATGTAACCATTTGGTATCACAACATTATTACATGGGGAATAAAATGACAAATGAATGACAAAGAATTGCATTTTGTAATTGTTTTGAGTGAGCAGTAAATATTTTGGCAAAAGCCTACAGCGTAGTTGTAATGTCTAAAAAATGAGAGACAACAGTAATCTGTTAAAAGCTGTTATATAAGTAATCCTTGTGCCCAGCTTTGAATGGCTAGATTTGCTTTGGCTGGTTTTTGAAAGCCATTTTGGGATAAACTAGACTGCAAAAAATGGAGCAACCTTATACAACAAAATACAGTTTTCCATTCAATTCTATGTGGGTTGCTACATACTGATTACAAATTTATTGCTATTGAGTGGTCTCACTGTGCATCCTCTTTAAGGACACAAAAGAAGAAAAACCATGTAGCCCTGTGCATCCTGAAGGGGATTAAAGCTTTACAAAAGGATAAGTAGGGAGCTGTTGATAAACACAGCATTGTTTATGGCCTATAACTTGCTTTCTGTTTGAACCAACTCCTTCCCCCACTTTTTTTGTTGTTGTTCTTGTTATAAGTAAGGGAAGACAGGTGGCTTCACCCATTGTTCTGGTGTTTAAATAGCCAGTATGTTGAAATAATAACTTGCACGAATCTCAATTAACTGAAGAAATAGAAGAGACTCATAATGCATAAACCCCAACATAAATGAATAATAAAGTGAAATACTGTTATTGCACAATGTGCTGTAACACTTGCATGTGACCAGGAAACGAAGCTTCTCTACACATGAAAAACATAGCTTTGAAAATGAATACTTTTCTCCTTTTGTGGGCCTTCCCACCAAAAGCTAGTATGTTTTAGATGGTATAATCTTTGAGGTTGGAATTCTGTATATATAACTTTGATTAGTATTATAGTGCATAAAAGCATTTTATAAGTGGGTTCTGATAATAGGGTAGAAGGTGATAGCAAAGGTATTATTATTATTTTTTAATTTTAAAGTGTAATTTTATCTGATTATAAAAGTCATATATGCTTATTCTGGAAAATTTTAAAAATAAACAGAAGAAAATAAAAATTAAAAAAAATAAAAATAAAAAAGAAGAAAATTCAGTTGTAAGATGCATTGCTCTTATGGTAAATAGCTGGATATATGAGAAGCATGGAGAATGATGAACTGTTTAACTTTCTTCCTCTTTGCTTCTAGAGTCCCTGTATTTTGTTTTAATCTTACATTTACTAATAATTGACCGTGGTAAAAGGTACTCGAAGCTCTTAAAAGTTAGTCATTAGTGTTTATTAATGTATAAAAAAAGAAAAATGCCTAAAACGGCGATGTGCTAAAAGCTGTACGCTAGATGTTAGGCGTAGGGTGACATCTTGTGGTAACACCAAGGAAAATGTTTTGTCTGATGGATAAATTATAGTTCTATGATGACTGTTATTAACACCTTAAAGAATTTGAATAGAAGTGAATTGAAATTCTGTAATATTTTACAAATTAATTTGTTTCCTTTGTTTAGTATTGCTAAAACACTTCAATTTTTAAGCACGCAGGTTATTTATTTTTCATTTAGGTGCTGAAGGAGTGAGATGAAATGTTAGTTTTTTAAAAAATTATTTTTACACATCTCTTCCAGATACTTTGAAAATTTAAATTTCACTGTGTAGTGTTTGAGGGGGAATTTTTGGGGAAGGATTTGGACAGTAAAGTGATATGTTCCTTAAAACCCTGCTAGTAGCAACATCTTAAAAAAGTGCTATCCTGCTTTATGGAGACTTGCATGTCCAATTTTGTGTTAGAGTAGAATACTTTTCATTTCCATAAAGCTTAGCATAGAACCCTGTGGATAGTTGAGATTACTAGCAACATGGATGAGACATTAGATGCATCACATATTGGGATTTATCACCTTCTACCATGTCCCTACTTGCTAGCAGCTTTAAGCGGCCCTTTCATTATGTACTTGAACATTTTGCTTATACTACTATGAAGCACTTATTACATTGCTTTATGATTATTTGAGTATATTTCTCCCCCTCAATAGACTGTGAGTAGCTTGAGAGTTAAAGTTATATTTAATTAACTTTTGTAGCATCAGTATGTGGACCTTTATAATCATAGTCGTCAATAAATTTTGTTTATTCATTTACTCAACAATTATTTTTAAAATACCTGTTACGTATTAAACATTGTGGTAGGCAATAGAGATACAATAGTAAACTAAAGAGGAGAGGATGGTCCTTGCCCTCATGGGTAAGTGAGAGCAATCAAGTGGGGGGAAAGAGACATTAGGTATGCGGTTAGTTAATTATTTAAATATAATGGTGACAAGTGCTATAAAATAAGTCTGTATAAGTTTTATCATATTTTAGTTTGAATAAATTAAGCCACTACATATTTTTCCAATATAGTAATTCTAATATAATATTTTTATTTCAAAGATAACATCTATTTGAAAACCTCATGGCTATTCGGGTCTTAATTATTCACCATAATGTGTAATTTTTGCCATGTGATCGTAAGAAAGTCCAAGGATTTTGTATAGGTGACAGTGAGTGTGAAGGCCCACACAGTTATGTGAATTTGGAACAACTTGGCTTTAGTCCTCCAAAACAGAGGTTCTCAAAGTGCGGTTCTTGGAGCAGCAGCAGCAGCAGCAGCACCTGGGAACATGGTTAGCATTGCAAATTCTTGGGCCCTATCCCAGACACGCTGAATCAGAAGCTCTGGAAGCAGGGGTCAGCACATAGTGTTTTAGTGAGCCTTCCAGGTGATTCTGAGACATGCTAAAGTTTGAGAACATGTGTTCTAAATGGTTAGATATTTTGTCACTCAAAGAAAGTAATATAGTATGTGAATATTATTAATAAATGAGAAAATATGACAATGGCATTTCTTCATTCTTGGGTTTTATAAACATCTGATTTGATCTTTAACTAGTTTAAAGAGCCATTACCATTCTCGGATATATCTTGAGTACTTTGAGAATCTATTAATTAATGAATATCATTATGAAATCTAATTAAAAAATACAATAGTGTATCTGAAACATTTAAATGATTCCCCCTCCCCTTTGGATACCTAATAGTAGTTTCTGCATATGGTGCTATGGATAGAGAACAGCAAAGCTGCATTGTATGAGGCTTACTCACTTAGGTTAGTGCCTGCTGCCACTCACAACCTCCAAACATGTGCTCTAGTGAAACAAATAAATTACTACATGTCATGGACCTTCAAATAAGTCTTGACGGTCAAAATGGTGAATGTTAAATTCTTATATACTAAGGTCTAATATGTTCCTACTTATTTGTTTACAGTACCCATTTAAGTAAAAGGTGTGCTGGTATTCTAGTTACTGCTATTGAGTAAAAATAATTAATGAAGCATTTATGAAGTGTTTACCTATTTACATGGATATATGCAGATGAGTGTTGTTAAAGACCAAATCTTTACCCCCCAGGAGGTTAAGGTCAGTTGGGAAGGTAATATTTACATGCATATAAACAGGTACAAGACAGGATATAATTAAGGATTGACTAAACTCTGGAGGCTAGACTGAAAT